TTGAGAGAAACTTGGAGAGAAACTCCCAACCAGCTCTGAGGAGACAGGAAAATCATGATCCAGGGAATAACTCGGTCCCACTGTTCCAAAGGGGCACCCTGTGATATACGGCATTGTTTAAAAAATCGGGATAAAAATTATGTTGAAAATATTTAAAGATAAAGGCTTCCCTGGGGGAAAAAGAAGAGGATTTTGCGGTTGAACCGTCTCTTAAGATGAGCAATCCCTGCCTGGGGGTACTGTACAACTTCAGCCAGGTTTGGAAAAATGTTGAATTTCTGTATGGCTTTGTGACAATCGAGAGCAGTGTAAAGAACACGTATCCAAACGCCTCAAGTGAGGACGCAGCCTCTTCCCCGGCCCTCGTGCCCCAGCCCAGCGCAAACAGGAGAGGCAGAGCAAACTCTGGTGTGCCTGCTTTCAAGGCCTGTTGCTTTTTCCCCAGCAGTTGTTTTCCAGTAGATGGAAGGCTGGGGAGAAGGAATAGCGATAAAGGATAAAAGGATACTGACCACAGATTTATTGCTCGCAGGTCAGTTTGCACAGTTCAGATTGATTTGATTTATTGCTCGCAGGTCAGTTTGCACTCAGTTTGTCAGTTTGATTGATTGTGTTGCTATAGGACCTCTCCCTTTGGTGTATACTCAACTAGAGGACTGTTAGAAGTTTCCACCTGGGACACGTTACCCGCACATCTAAACTACGGGACCTGTCCCAATGCAGTTGAACGCTTGACCTCGTCTTTCTCCTTCAAGTCCTGCCTAGGTATGTTATGGCCCAACACTTCTATCTCATTAAAGAGAAAAGGGCATCCCCCATTTGGCGAGTAATGCAGCTGCTGATCTGGTTCCGGATGAGGAATAGCCACATTCTTGGCCCACTACAGTGCCTGGTTTTACGCTCGGAAGCGGCTCTGGCAAGCTCTGTGGAATCAAAACCGGGAATGAAAGGCAAGCGAGAGCCGGTGACGCTTGCGGGCGCTTGGTGCCGAAGCCGGGCGCAGGGTCGCAGCGCTGGTGGGAGGGCGCAGAAGGCTCCAGGTCTTCCTGGCGCCTTCCGACCTGCAGGGCCACCCGGAAACCACAGCGCCCGGCCCGGAGAGCAATCCCCAAGGAAGGACGGGGGCAGCCTGGGAGCAGGTCCGTTCTGTGCTGGGGGTGAATGCACCAAACACGGCTCGCCCGCCGGAGCACGTGCAGGTCCTGAGGAGGCCGGTTCTCGGATCGGTCCCTCGCTGCAAAGCCGCTCTCCAGTACTAAGAACAGAGCTTTGATTTGCCTAGGGAATTGTTTAGATGAACTTTATTCTCTGTTTTGGCTTATGTTTTACTAAAACAGAGGCGCTACCTTTTTTTTTTCTGTTCACCTGGTAAGTGTGTGTGGCTGTGTAATATTCAAATCAAGTTAGCTCTCAGTTTGATCTGAACAAAACGTATCGTTTCTGTGGGAAAAGGTGAACGATGGTGGAAAAAAAAAAGTTTTATTTTCTTTCAGGGAGTCCGTCAGCTCACTGCAAAGGTTAAAAGAGCTTGAGAGTTGAAAGGCACCATCCTCTCAAGGTCACCTTGAGTACTGGGCGTGCTGGCAGCTGCACCCTCAGGAGTTGGCTCCCAGGGGCAGGGGATAAGTGTTTTTGTGGGCAAGCTGCCTGGGAGGTGGTAAATGCCATATGAATCCCGAACACATCTCCCGCTGTGGCAGCCCTGGCTGTTGTTTTGTTTCTGCTCTGCCCCACCAAAGGCCGCCACGGGCCTGCCCAGCACTGATTGCTGCGGCCTCGCAGGTCTCTGAGAAGGGCCTCTGTCCACCCCCAAGCCTTGCCCATCCGCAGGAGCCTCCCGGGGCTTCCAGAGCCTTCCAGAGTCAGCCCTTCGGAGCGCCTGCAGGGACGTCTGTGAACTGGCCTCCTGGAGCGCCTCCTTGGGCAGGGAAATGCATGCACACACACACAAAAAGGGAAATTTTCCACAAATAATCTTTTTTTCTCTCTCTTTTTTTTTTTTCTTACCCAGTTGGGAATCCATAACTACACAGCCTACGCTCACCGGGTTTTCTAATTTTTGGATAGCTTCATCTGAGGGGAGTCGAACCCAGCATACTTCAAAAGACAGGGCTTTGAGATGACTGAAATTCCAGATTCTTTCTGTGGGGTGAATTACTGAAAATTGGAACCCGACAAAATCCATCAGAAGTGGTGGAGGTGTTGGAAGGGCTCCACCGCTGCAGACCTGCACCTTACTCTGCATCCAGTTTGCAGCCGTTGCTGTCGCGCCTCCCATGCTCTGTCGAGCCAAGCCCTTTGGTTGCAATGTTTCACCAGACTTCGTGACCACCACTTTATCCCCCATTTCCTGCTGCATTTTGTTTTTGTTTTTTAAAGCTGCTGATCCCTGTGACAGAAGGCTGCCTCAGAGCACTTGTCTGCCTGCGCCGCCACTTGAGCTATGCTGAGACTTGCTGCTTTTTGCCTGTTCCAGGTAGGTTGTTTTGTGAGTTTTCTTTGTTGCTTCCTAATCACAGCTTGCCTAGGCTGGGCTCTGACTGGGGAGTTGAGTATTTTTGGGTGCTTGCTGATAAATAGTTCAGTGCTGAGAACATATCCTTGTGCAAAGTGAATGAAAATATACTCGATCCTTGATATTTTGTCGCTTGCAATCACATTGGGAGACCTACTGGTTAGCCAGCTTTCATCTGTTTTATGTCTCGAGTTATTGCTTCTCAATCAGGTTAGTTCCCTAATCAACGTGTCATGTGGTAGCCACATCTAATGTATTTCTGAGCTTTTAGCGAATTGCATTGACACTATTGCTTTTGAAACTAAAATTATTCTGTTGTTTTCCCAGGACCAAAGCCACAATAGCAGCCTTATGATTTGATTGCTTGTCCTTTGAAAATATTGGAACAGGACTGGCATTTTTCCAATCCTCTGCAATGCTCTTTGGTTTCCAAGCCGTATGAAAAATGAATATTGATGGAGAAGGCTGCTTTTTAGCTTTCACAACCTGGAACGATCCCATGAGAACAGGTTGCACAGCCAGTGCCTGTGAAGGGGGAGACTGTTGGTGTGTGACTTGTGAGAGTGAAATTACTCACCCCTGCCCCCAAGTTAGGAAGTGAATTGGAGGTTGACACAAAGATGTGTGAAATCTCACTGCTGGTGAGCCCTGAACGTCCTGGCCTCCCCAGAAATGGCCAGGCGGTCGAGAGAGCTCCTTTTCAAGGGAAGGATGCAAGAAGACCTGGAAGTACAAAATAGAGTTTCGTCTTCTCTGTGGCACTGGCCAGAGCATAAGGCCTAGCCCCTGATGTTTGCTTGAGTGGCAAGGCCGTCACATTGCAGTGCTGCAGTTTATTCCCCTTCCCATTTCCAGGCTTGGTTTGCTCCATGTTTCCACGCTCCGTGGCCGGTCCATCTCCTGCGCCTCTAAGGCCGTGTTCTCCAGCATGGAAAGTGCTCAAGTGATGGCCTTGCCGCGTAACGCGCTCGGTTATGTAATCCAATGTTTCATGGGGTTTTACAGCTACCAGTGCGCAGAACAGAAAGCACTAAATGAAATGCCTGTGGAGGAGAACAATGAATTAGGTCTTCTATTAAATTTTTCATCTCTTGAGTCTGCTCAAGCCCAGGAGCATCCCAGGCGGTATGAATCTGAGAATTCATAGCCTTAAATAAGAAAGTAATGGAGGGGAGAGGCCATTATGAGACAGGCGTACAAGGACTTGCTCTTTATTTATTTATTTAAGGCAGCAGAGAAGGAATTTCATTGGCAAGGAGCTGACACTGAATCCACCTTGGGTTTACCAATCTTCCTGTGCAGCAAACTAAACATGATGCTTTTGCCATAAGGGAGCTACTTTATAGCAGGTTTGAAACGTGGCTGAAAGATGCTTGAAGTCTGGTGCTACTCAGGAGCAAAATTAATTTGCTTAGTAAAGGATAGACATGTACAGAGGAGACCACAGGAAAATTCTCTTGGCTCTCCTTGCTTTCCGTCGCCTCCCTCCCATCGCTGCAGTGCCGTAATCAAAATTTACACGGCCGTACGTGGACAGAGCTTCCTTGCTGTTGGCAGAGGTGTGCTGACTCATGCCCCCAGAAACCATGAGCCTTGTGTTTTACAGTGTGTTTGCTGGTTTTCAGTGGCTCTCGCTTATTTTTAATGGCTTATTTCCTCAGGACCCTATTTGATAGCCTAATAGACACTGACGACAGGGCCATTGCCTTAATATTCTACCCAGCCGGTCTCTCCCCTTGACTTTGGCTCCCTAGGGCAGCGGCAGCTCCCGCACTCTGACCACAGCGCAGAAGAGGGAGAAGCGGGTTTCGCTTCTCCTTCGCACAAGGAACAGCGATGCGGTTTATTCGCTGCCGCGGGGCAGCATCCGAGGGAGCCCTTCTCCCGGCGCGTTCCCGCGCGGAGCGGGAGCAGCGGTGGGAGCCGTCGGCAGGACCCCCCCGCGGGGGCAGGACTCTGGGGCGCCTCTTTAGCAACGCCCCTGCCCCGACCCTCCTTGTACGCACAGAAAACCGGGTCGATCGAGGCTTCTGCAGAGCGCCATGCAGCAGCAGCAGCCGCAGCAGCGCGCCGAGGCGGCCCTCGCCTCCTCCTGAATTCGTCAACGCTTTTTGATTTGCTGATCCCTGGATACCCATCGCCGCAGAGCAAGACCCCGCTGCGTCTCGGAAAGGGCTCCTCGAGCTCCCATGTGTAACCCTCCTCCTGTTAGCAAGTACTAGGTAGGCAATTTTCAAGTGCTTTTGCATTTGCAGCAGCCTTAACTAGATCTGAAAACTCTATTGTGTCCTCTGTAATCAGAGGAGAAGCTGCCTCTTAAAACCTGCTGTGTTTAAAATCTTCCTTTTTCTTCTTACTCTGTATGGTTTGGGTGGGAGGGAGGATGAGTATCTTTTTTTTTTTCCTTTTTTAAAAATTTTTTTAGCTGCTGTGCACCTTTGGAAAAGGATATTCCCTCTTTGATCCCTCCCTTGTTCTGCAGAGCTGCTCTAACCATTGCTGCATAGTTGCTTTCAGCGTTGGTGAACATCTGTGCGACTGTGTAGCACGTACAGCAGGCTGCTCACTCCTCTATTATTCAGTTTTCTGCTGTGTACTCCAGAGCTGCGGAGAGGAACGAGCCAAGTTCTGGCTTGGTTGCGGAGATGGCTAACAGAGGACCCAGCTATGGCTTAAGCCGGGAAGTTCAAGAAAAGATTGAGCAGAAGTATGACCCGGAATTAGAGTCTAGGCTGGTGAACTGGATTATTATTCAGTGTGGAGAGCAGATAGAGCAACCTCCGCCTGGGAGGCAACACTTCCAGACCTGGCTGATGGACGGAACGGTAAGTGATTTATCTCACTCTGCACCTGCGTGGGTTTACATAGGCATAGGGAATTTGTATATATTATCACCTGCGTCCTTATTTTCTATTTTCATCCAGCTAAACTGTTCAGAGCTCCTAATGATTATAGAAATATATACTTTAGCAACTGACTGATTTCCTTTAGGCGAGGAAATCTTAAACCCAGAAAATAATTATTCTAGTGGTGCGTGGGGATTAGTGCAGTACTTACGATTCTTATGAGTCATGTATTCTATATATGAGTATGACTCATTCCTCCAGCACCATTTCTCATGCAGTTGAGAGAGAGCTGCTTTTAAAATCAATGCATCTTTTCTTGCATAAGAAATCAGTGTTGGCGGAGAAAGGTGAATAGATGCAGAGAATCTGATATAGTAGATTGTCATAACTGTTTTCTGCTTGGGAATAATTCTGTAGCCAAAACATTGTATTCCGTTGGTTTATTGAACAACAGACAAATGCTGCTGTTTGCAGTGGATTAGTTTGCTAATCATTGAATCTCTGCCAAAGTGACTTTAACAATATTTCAATTGACATTGCTTATTCTTTTGGTCTAGGCACGTGGGTTTCTTTTCTGTCAGTTGTTATATAACCTATACCAGTGATTGCTTTGTTGTTTCTAGCAGATTGGGATTTATTTGGTAAGGCTATCGCCATCAGTTAATGAAAACTTCAATGCATTTCTAAAATACTTTGATTATTATCGATTGCAATTTTCTCCTCTTTGTTTTTAATTGAAGAAATTATGTCCCCAACAAAAACTGACCAGGTCAAACCACATTACAGACTCATTTCACAGGCAGAAATTGCCTTCTAGTTCAGTGACTGCTTCATAATTCTGTTTCTGTGTTTCTCTCGTAGCTGTTATGCAAGTTAATAAACAGTTTACATCCGAAGGGGAATGAGCCCATTGCAAAGATCTCCGAATCAAAAATGGCTTTCAGGCAGATGGAACAAATTTCTCAGTTCTTAAAAGCTGCTGAAATCTACGGAGTAAGAACAACAGACATTTTCCAGACAGTGGATTTATGGGAAGGTAACAATAATAAACTTAACTTGAGCTTGCAGTCTTCATTTTGCTTTGCTTTGATGTGTTGTAATGGTGCATTTCACCTAAGACAGATTCTCTAATATAATTATCTTTTGTTTCTGTTTGCCCTACCTCATTACCATGTTCTTCCGGTGGCGCATTATCTCCTCTGAGGGATATACATTACCCTGGGGGCATAGTGGCTAATATGTTATCCAAAAGCCATCATTCTGACAGAAATCCACAGCCCCAATAAAACAGATGTTCCCCATGCTAATTATTTCCAAGTAAATGGCTTCTAATAGCAAATATGGAAAACCTTCATTTTCTCATGACAAGCTCTTATTGTACTCTTCAGATTATAAGCAAGGCTCAAATCAAAGGTATAAAATGCATTCCCTTGAGCAGACGTGGCCCTTTGGAGCTTGAGAGAGCTTGTTCCTGACTAGCTGGAAGTGAGGCTCGCTGCTGGAATATAGGGGACACTGCAGGGATATTAGCAGAGCATCCCTCAACGCAGCCTTTTTAGAAAGGTCACTATGGAAACAGCTGGAAAACTCAGGATGCTCCTGGGGTTTTTGCAGTTGCAAAGGTGAAGCTGATTTCCCTCCCACATGGGAAGTGTCCTCTAGTTCCTGAAGGGCTGATTCATGTTCATATGGCTGCTTCCAGCCACCTCTCTGTCCGTGCATCATTCCTGGCCATCTAACTAAAACTGCTCTCTATCCAGGCTCTCTCTGGGCAAGGCCATGCATCTTGCTTTGCATGGGCTCAAAGCAAAGACAGCTTCAGGATAGGGAAGGGCAGGTGCTGAGGTGTGAAAGGGCCAAAATCCACAAAGAGGGCAAAAGAGTAGAAAGAGGGAAAAAATGCTTTGAGGGGAGCTGGTCGGTGTAGTAGGAATAGGAACATGCAGTGGGATTTATTTGCACAGGCTGCCAGGACGTGTGGAAGGGATCAGCCCTCTGAAGAAGGGCTCAGTACGTGAAGGCTCCGCAGATGGGCTAGGGAAGGATGGACCTACGGCCCGAGTAGGGGGGCTCTGCAGCATTCTCAGGGTATCTGGTTTGCTTGACAGGTCTTACCTTTGGTCACAAGGGCAGAATTGCTGCTTTATTGTTTGATTTTCAGTGTTTCATCCAATCTTGACATGTGTTAAATGAAGGGGTTCTCACTTCCCTGGAATGGCACCCTCCCCTGCTCCATCCGAGCAGACTGTTGAGAGGAAAGTTCCATCCATCTCACCAGGGATGGAATTAGCTCATTTCAGATGCCATTCTTGGCAGTCTTTTGCATCTTGTAATAGTTTCACACCATGCAAATGAAAATATAGTACACCGATTCTTATGATTAAAATGACTCACTTTGAAGAGGAAAAGCTCATAATGATGTTGACTATCTCCTCCATTCCTCTTCCTTTCGTTCATCACCTTTTCTGAAGAGATGTGAGGGAAAAAAGCCGCTAACTCCAGATGACAGGAAGCCAAAACACAACTGCCAGCTGAGGACGGATCCATTGGAACCCATACAAGACTTGTCTCCAGTTATTTTAGGACTTCCCAAAATTATTCTGTATCTCCTTCTTTCCCCGTTCTGTCTTCCTCCCTGCCTGGCTCTTTTTGGCGTCACTCCAGAAGGGAGCCTGCACAAGGCTTTTGCATCTGACGGTAGCTCTCACTCTCGCATCTCTGCTGTTTCACAGATGCATCATCTGAGCCCAGATGCATGAGCTGTACAGAAAGGACAGTATCTTTTCACTGTTTCATAATTAAAATAATCCTACTCTCCTGAAAGGATTCTCAGGACATAGTGTGTTTGGGAAGAGAGGGGGTGCCCACGTATGTTTATGGGGAAAGGGAAGTATGTGCAACTGAAAACCAGCTTCTCTCTGGCACTGATTGTTTCCTAAGAGCTCTTGTTTTGAGATCCTTAATAATAATTAGCAAAAACATTTCAGGATGCAATCTGCCATTGGCTGTTTCAAACCCATTTGCCCCATCTGGTGCATTTTTCGTGGTCTCTAACTCTCTTAGTCCAGAAGTATCACCTCTCCTTTTCCTTTCTCATGTGAATGTACTGGGCAGAGCGCAGCAATTTCCTTAATCCAGGCCCTGCTTTGTGGGGAACAATCAAGGGAAGGGACTAACAACCAAGGGAAGGTACTAACTGCCAGCTTCTGAAATGCCGGAGTCCAGTTTGACTTTAGGGAACACTCATCCCTTCTTTCAAAGGGCTGCTGTGTTGGGCAGTTTTTTCAGCTGAGACTTAGGCTTCTCATGGTGCTGACCACCAAGACCAGGGTGTTTCCTCCTCCGTAGCATCCTTGCTTGCTCCGCAGCGCCTTGGCTGCTGCTTTGTTTTGTCACGTGGCCCTCCCTCCTGCTCCATTTTCCCTGCGGCGTCTCCCACTCCCGGTGACAATTAAAGCTGAGCTGAGTGCAGGGGGTGGGGAGGGCTGCCAGATGGCTCAGTGAGGCTCATCGTGATATTTCACTGCCCGTCTTTTGTTTCTTCTTCTTCTTTCCCCTCCTTTTTTTTTTTCAGTTGCCATCATTATTCAACTCATTCACTTTTAAATCCATCTTTGCATCTCTCCTCATCCTTGTCAGCCATCGCACCCCTTGTTATACGGGAGGCATCCCAAGGACATTATATGTGGCATCTGTTGCAGCATATGGTACATCTGCTGCTTTGGGGATTCCTGAGTGCTTTTCCCTCACACTCCTCCGTGTGTGTTTGTGTACGTGCGTGTGCGAGATGGGGGGCTCTTCAACTTCCCCTTTTAGGCAAGGACCTCATCTGATGTGATTCGTGTTAAGAAACAGTAAACCAAGGATTCTGGATGGTCAGCTGTTTTATGAACAAGCGGCCCCCTGCAGATAGGATTCCTGCAAACTTTAAGAGCTGCTACCCATTTTCAGCTTTAGGATGTCTTCCCCACCTCGACCAACGCTTTATGCTTTTAGGTTTGAATGAACCCAAGCCCTGAACTTAACCTGCCTGTAATTGGGGAGACACATAGCATAAACATGTCATGTGCAAAGGCTGCTTTCCTGTGCATACCAGCGGGTCTACAACGATTTTCCTTAATGTTGGCCTACTGGAGGTGTTTCTGAAGTCTACAATCATCACGTCTCTAGTATCTCATCTTTCTGTGGATTATTTATTTCCCCAGTTGAAGAACTTGAACTTGAATTCTCTAGAAAGCTTTTTTTTTTTCTCTCTCCTTTGCCTATGGAAAGAAACCTAAACTTAGTGGAGACAAGATATGTAACTTTTACTTGGCTGAAGATGAGATGAGCCCTGTGTCCTTGAAAAGAGGATTGGAGTGGGATAAGATAAGGAGGGAGAAAGCAGAGAAGAATAAGGAAAGTAAGAACTATATGACAGGATCATGTATGAAACAGCAGAGCATGGATTTTTCGTAGTCTGAGGGAAAAAAGCCACGAAGAAGGATTTGGGGGAGTGATTTGGTGGATAACTTTTGAAGGATTTGTGTGAATTGCCTGCACACAACTTCTACAAGACCACATGTGAGCACATGGACTATCTGCAGTTGCCAGGAGTTATATGGTGGGATCAGTCTCCCTGTTTTGCCAGAGAAGAAACTGAGATGCAGCATCAGTTATTTACTGCTTTGCTCCCTGCAGGCCATATTTTCTGGGTGCAGCAGCACTCTGTGTCTTCCTGCCCTTTGTGTGTCAAAGGGGCAAAACTCTTCTCAGGGAAAATTCTGGCAATAGAATCAACTAGCGGGACTTAACCTACCGTGGAGGAAAGACTCTTAAATAACCATAGGCCTGGAAACACCTGAATTGTAAGACTTATCTTAACACAGACCCCTTAATAGGTTTCAGTAAGCTCTTCTATGTCACTATTTCAATTTCAGCATCTGTGAAAAAGCATTTATAATGCCATTACTGTACCTTCTTAGGCAAGTCAAGAGAAATAATTAACACATTGGGTGAATAGGTTTATCAAGATGCTGATTGTTGTGCAAGGCCTTCTTGTATTAATTTCACTGTCTGGCTTTCTAGGGAAGGACATGGCAGCAGTGCAGAGGACCTTAATGGCTCTGGGCAGTCTGGCGGTGACTAAGGACGATGGCTGCTACAAGGGGGATCCATCCTGGTTTCACAGGTAAAGGCTAAAACGTAGCTTCCTGGAGTGTCTTCTACAGGAATCTGGCAATTTCGTCTGCCTTTAGCTCAGAGTGACTTTATGAAAATGTGCTGGGAAAGGAAGATAAGAATCTTCCCAAAATATTCTTGTGATGGAGAGCTTTTTTAGTTTAGTTTTTTTTTTTTCTCTGCAGTCTGGAGGAAGGAAGCAAATACCCAACTAGTCAGCAGCATTTCATACCCTTCACAGGTTCCCGTCACTGCAGGGCCCATGTCTTAGGATATCTTGCCAGCCCCAGCTCCCACCAGTGCTGCTGGGGAGAAGTCCTTGTGGGAGCTGTGCGGCCTGGCCACGCTGCCACCTCTTCCCCCAGCCCCCTCGCCCCATCACACATGTCCCTCCTGCTGACCTGGGGGTGAGAAGGAGCCACCAGGAGCTCGGGGAAGGCGCACCCTGTCCAACCCCGGGTTCTCCTGAAGCCTTCCCTTGTGAACATCTCTGTATGAGGGGTCTACGCTGATCCCCGAGGCAGAGGCGTATTTCCTTCTCCACCAACGTTTCCCCAACTTATTCTTTAAGAGGACAGCAAAGCAACAACACTTAGGAAATTCAGCCACTAGTTTTTGTGAGATTCATCTAATGAGCAACTTCAGCTAATCTTCTATATCCCCTTGTGGGGGAAAGGAAATGAAAGCAAGGCAGCCACTGGAGCGCTCCTGCCCCACTTGAACGTTGCTATAATGAGTTTGCACCACCCAAGAGTTATTTGATATGTTGCAGTGTCTGAGGCATGTTAGCAAAAGGAGTGCTGGTTGCTTTGTTTTGGTTTCCTTTAATTTGTCTCATGTCTGTGTGAGGCTCATCACAGGCCAAGCAAACTTCCTTTTGTTTGTGTTAAAGCTTGAGCTGGCTTAAATGAGCCTGAAAGAGACATGAGCTTTAGGTGAAGAAGTGCAAACTCCTGGACAGTCTTCATATAAAACTACTTTAAATGAACTTAGTACAGTCCACAAAGAGATTTGTATTTGTTGATTATGATCGGTTTTAAAATTCAAATCCAGTTGCAAGCGTTAATATAAACCAGACATGAAATCACTGAGACAGACAGGCTTACTTGTTTCATATAACTAAAACAAATTCCTACCTGGAAAAATTAATTTTCAGCTGGCTCTTAATTGTGGGTGGGAACAGTTTTCATCAGCATAGCTGAAGATGTGATCATTTCCATCCTGCCTTTGCTACAAAGACGGATGATCCATATCTACTGCAGCTCCTGAAACACCAGTCTATAGCCTGCTGTCTTAAGGAAGACTGATCTTGTTTCCATAAGGACCTTATGTGTGGCAGGTCAGGAGCTGTTTTCTGAGTAACTTTGCTATCCCTGTGGGGCAATCTCTCCCCCTCACTGCCACCCAGCGTTGGTCATGAGGCAGGGCCTTCAGGCTGATTCTTAATCTTCTTAAGTTAAATTGAAAGAAGTCCAGATTAAATGGAATAAGAGTATTCATGGAGAGATCTATCATGATTAAGAAACACCTTCACTTGAGCTAAGCTGTTTAACTTTCTATTGCCAGTGTCTGGCATACCCAGTTCCATCAGGCTTGATTTGCCCCTTCTCATACCTTCTAGTAAAGTTTATGGATCCATCGTTGTTTATTATCTTGCAGTTCGGCTATCACAGACACTACTGCAAAGCTGGTAAAAACAAAAAACTGTCAGATCTGAATGGTAGTATTTTGCCTTCGGTTTGCAGGGAAGCTGATGTCAGATGGTGGCAGACAAGGCCAAAAAGAACTTGAAACCTTTTGGATACTCAAGGGGAGCAGACTCCTCCTTTCCTCATGGACAAGGCCAAAAAGAACTTGAAACCTTGGATACTCAAGGGATACTTTGAATACTCCTTCTCCTTTCCTCATATAGTCTCAGAAAAGGCCATTTCCAGCAACCTGAAAGCTATAAGTGCATGCTGTTATCTGTTAAGACCATCATATGCTCAGTGCAGTGGTTATGATGGAAAAAATAACTCAATATGATCCAAACTGCTTATATACTCAGATGTTAGCCTATCTAGACTTCCCTTTAGGCACTTTTAGGTTTTTTATTATTATTGTTTTTTGCAATTCTCATTTCTTCCTGTTCTTAATTACATTTCAACTGTCTCTAGTGAGCAAATTACTCCATAACATGGCTGAAAATACTAGGAGGAAAGAGAGGAAAAAATAGAACGTGTTCCTGGCATTTTAATTAAAATACAGGCAGATACAGGGAACCTGAAATTCAATTAGGTAATAGGAGCAGTTCTAAAAACATCCTCTCTTGGAGACTCTGGCAGCCGTTTGCTGCCCGCATAAGGATTCTGGAAAAGAAATTAAGCAGCAGTGAGAAGGGGTTCTCAGGCTCCGGGGTGCCTAACTTCTGCATGCCTGTCTGCAAAGAGCCCTGCTCTCTGGGAAGAGCTCTGGGATCTGACCCTGTCAATCCTGTTGGGAACCTTTTATTGATACTGGAGGTCCATTCTGAAAAACACCAGCCTGCTGCTGTTTTCTTTTTACGGGTGTTTCTCACCTTTCTGCTGGGTCGGGCTTTCGTCCAGGTGCAGGTTCTCCCACACCATCCTCAGCACCCCCAGCGTGGGGCTGAGAACAGTTTAAGGGCTTTTCTGGGCTTGAGCCAGGGTGCTCAGCACCATACAGGGTCAGACCCTCGTTACGGATCGTATTGAGGTTTTTCAATCACAGCAGCTGCCTAATCTGGGATCCTCATCTCGTGTTGGAGTAGGGAGAGGTGGGGGAATTGCAATGCGACGCAATTACAGTTGGAACCTGATCCCAGGACAAATAGTAACTTAAGGGAGAACGGTCCCACTCGGGTGGGAGTAGAGACCAGATGACTGAAATCCTCCCTCAGTTTGGGCCTCTGATGGTTTTTACAGCCTAACTGACAGCAGCAGATTGACCCTTCTTCATTTTAAACGACTTGTTTTCCCTGTCTTGCACATATGTAAGATTAATCTAAGATGAATAGACAGTTTCTCACAGGGCAGCAGAGTACAAACTTTTGAGCCATGTCTTAGTGACCACTTTTGCCCTCAGTGCTATTTTCCAGGAAAAGAGGCTTCTTAAGTTCCAGCAAAGGTTCATTGACCTAAAGGGTTTTTCAGACCACAGATGCCCACCAAAAGTGGCCACACGTTTTTTACAGAGG